GAATTAAACAAAGAATTAAACAAAAGAATTAAATAAAAGAATTAAACAAAAGAATTAAATAAAGAATAAAACAAAAGAATTAAATAAAGAATAAAACAAAAGAATTAAATAAAGAATTAAATAAAAGAATAAAATAATAAATCTTTTTGTTTTTGAACAGAGCAGACACCCGAGTGTGGGGCCCCACACTGAAGAGCTTTTAAATGCTGCTGCTTCTTTCAAGTGTCCAGACTGCAGTTTGTGTTTTTCTTCGGTGAGAACTTCATTTAAATTAATTAAATATTTATTTATTAATTAATTAAAAGTTAATTATTTATTTATTAATAAATAAATAAATAATAATTAATAATAATTAATTGAATTATAATTAATTAAATAATAATCAATTGAATAATGGTAGATTAATTAATAATTAATTGAATAATGATTGACTAATTAGTAATCAAGTGGATAATAATTAACAAGTTAATAGATAATTAATTGAATATTAAATGACTAATTAGTTTATAATTAAATAAATGATAATTAATTAAATAATAATTAATTAAATTTGCTACAATTTGGATTTTAGTTATTACTTTGTAATTATTTAATTTTAATTAATTAATTTATTTTTCTTGTTTGTTATTTGCTGCTGCTGTTTGCAGAAAAGCAACATGCGGCTGCATGCAAGAGTAAAGCATTTAAATGAAAAAAGATTTATTTGTGACTTTTGCTGCTCCGCTTTTGCCTACAAAGCTGTCCTCCGCAGACACGTAGCAGCTAAACACGCTGCTGCTGCTGCTGCTGCTGCTGCTGCTGCTGCTGCTGCTGGCGGTGCGGACGCCGCAGCAGCAGCAGATACGACTGCAGCAGCAGCAGCAAATACCACTGCAGCAGCAGCAGCAGCAGCAGACACCTGCACAGCGGGAACAGATACTACGAGAGCAGCAGCAGCAGCAGACACTACTGCAGCAACAGCAGCAACAGACACTACTGCAGCAGCAGCAACAGCAGAACCAGCAGCAGACACCACTGCAGCAGCAGCAGCAGCAAAACCAGCAGCAGCAGCAGCAGCAGCAGCCGATGAAGACAAAAGAGACAAACAAACGAATTTAAAAAGCAGCAAAAGAGCAGGAGCTCAGTTTCTAGTAGATGCTGTTGCTGTTGATCTTGTCTGCCCAGCAGCAGCAGCAGCAGCAGCAGCAGCAGCAGCAGCAAAACGAAGACAAGAAACTTGATTTTTGGACTTTTTCTTTGCTTCGAATTGCTGTAAATTGGCAATTATGCAAATAAATGCAAATAAATAAATTCAATTAAAGGATTAAATGATTAAATGATTAATTGCATTAAATAATTCATTTAATTCAACTTCCAAACAAAACTGTCTCCGTTCCACTTCTCCGTGCCCACGTGAAACAGCCCCACAGCAGCAGAAGATATTCTTCTCTTTTTCTTTCCCCGCAAAATTGCTGCTGCTTTCATCTTCAGCATTTTCTTCATTCCAGACAGAGACAAAGACCACCGACTCGTTGCTGCAGCAGCAACAGCAGCAGCAGCAGCAGCAGCAGCAGAAACAGCAGCAGCAGCAGCATAGCAGCAGCAGGAACAGCAGCAGCAGCAGCAGCGCACAGAAAAGGAGAAATGCTTCTGAATTGACTTGCAAGAATATTAAAAGACATAAATAAACAAACAAATAAATAAATAAATAAATAAATAAATAAATAAATAATAAATAAATAAAAAATAAATAAAGTTTAATTAAATGGAAGTAAAACTCACAAAGAACGTGAGAGACCATGTTGGCTCTTTCGGCGTCCATGGCCTGCTGGAGTGTATGTCCACTGAACCACTTGCACTTGAAGGCGACTGCGTTGGGAACTGGAGTTTCATTTATTTCATTTTTTGGATTTATTTTCTTTTTTTCTTTTTCTTTTTTCTTCAAAGAAGAAACTCCAATTGTCACTTCCGACAAAGACTCCAAAGCCGCCTCCAGCCCCGCCTTCAGCTTCTCCAGTTTCTTTCCTTTTGCTGCTGCCATTTGCCGCAAAACCATTTCTGAAACCATTCACAAATTCGCAATATTAATCCATTTAATTAATTCAATTAATTCTACATATATATTTTTATATTTATATTTATTTTTATTTATTTTTATGTTTATAAAGATATATAAATATATATATATGTGCATGCATTTATTTCGGCAAGTGCAGGATGCGCTGCGGTGTACGTACACCGCGCGGGTTTCGCCGCCTTGTGCATGCGCCGTTTGCTGCTGTTGATTTCTTTCTTTTTGTTCATTTATTCGTTTATTATTGTTCATTTGTTTATTATTTTTATTATTTATTGTTTATTTATTTATTTTCACCTTTATAGGCTTGACACCACATGTCCAGAGCCAACTTGGAACTCAACACTTGCAGCTGGGCTTCGTGCGACAGCGTTCTCTGGTGTACGTACACCGCAGCAGCAGCACAACATTCCGCAAAATAATTCAAAGAACTTTTACGCAAACTCTTTTATTTATTCTTTTCATCTTAATGAAACAGTTTTATTTATTCTTTTCATCTTAATGATAGTTTTATTCATTCTTTTCATCTTTATGCAAATAGTTTTATTTATTCTTTTCATCTTTATGCAAATAGTTTTATTTATTCTTTTCATCTTTATGCAAATAGTTTTATTTATTCTTTTAATCTTTACATTTATATATATATATATATATATATATATATATATATATATATATATATATATATATATATGTTTACATATATATAAATGCCAATTAAATGTATTTAATTGGGTTTAAATAAACACCAATAAAATAAACTTAAAGAAGCACCAATTGAATAGATTAAATTGCATTTAAACAAACAATTAAATGCATTTCATCCCATTTAAACAAACTCCAACTAAATGGACTTAATTGCATTTAAACAAACACTTAAATGCATTTAATGGCATTTAAATAAACTCCAATTAAATGCAAATTTAATTTCAATTGCTAAACACTTTACCCGTGGACTTCTTCTGTCTCTATTCCCCCTTTTTGTCTCTTCAAAACTAAACCCTTTTTTGTCTCCTTTTACTTCATCAATTTCCGCATAAATGTTTTCCGAAAGGTCCTCTGTGGGGGCCCCCCCGGGGGCCCCCCCGGGGGCCCCCCCGCTCTCTAGGGGGCCCCTTGGGAAGACCCTTTTGGGTATTTCTGGCAAGGGCCTGTTGGGGCCCCTCGAGGGGGCCCTCTGGGGGCCTCCGGGGGGCCCCTGGGGGCCCCTCTGGCTAGTACCCACCAAGGGCCTCCCCTGGGGGGCCCCCTGCGAGGGGGCCCCCCCGAGGGGGCCCTGGAAAGCCTCCGGGGGGCCCCCAAGGGGGGCCCCCGGGAAAGTACCCTGGGGGGCCCCCAGGGGGGCCCCCAGGGGGGCCCCCTCAGGGGGGCCCCCCTGGGGAGAGGGAAGGGCCCCCCTGCACCTGTGGGAAAAGTCAATTGCTGCTTGGAGAACTGAAAGAGGGTTTGAATAAGTTGCCATTAATTTATTTAATTCATTTAAAAGTTTGTTTTGGTTTTTTATTGGAAGAGGGTTTAGAGACAAATAAGAAGAAGGGTTTGAAGAAGAAGTCCGCGAGGAGTCCTTCACGTCCGTCACAAACCCCAAGTCCACCGAACTCCCCAGGTCTGCATGCAAACCCTAAACCCTAAACCCTAAACCCTAATCCCTAAACCCTCACGGTGAAGGAAGAGGAAGGAGTAGAAGAGCTTTTTGGCGTTGGACTGGTTAGGGTCTTCGAAGAGCACAAACCCTGGAAAAGGGTTTATCCAGAGGCCCACGAGGGTTTGCATAATTAGGAAGAACTGCTGCAAAAAGGGACTGTCTCTTTGCTGCAGCAAGGGTTTGAGAAATCTGCTGCTGAAGACATTGGCGAGGCTCTGCAGCGCAGCAAGAGAGCCTTGGTAGCTGCTGCTGCGGACTTGCTGCTGCTGCTGCAGCTGCTGCTGCAGCTGCTGCCACCCCGAAGGCATTTTCCCCTTTTTGTTTTTTCCAAACATTCCCGCAAAAAAAGACTTTATTGCTGCTCCCAACTTCGAAAGCAAAGAACTCCGAAACTCCTCCACCGCCGTGTGCAAAAAGAACGCTGCGCGCCCCAAAATAAACACCCTTTTAGGGTTTAGGGTTTAGGGTTTAGGGTTTGGGGGCGTTTTTCGCGGCTTTTTGCGGCAAAATGACCATTTAAATGGCTCAAAATAAAGCCACTCAATTAATTAATTTAATTAAAGTTAATTAATTAATTAATTAATTAATTAAATTGATTAATTAATTAATTAAATTAATTAATTAATTAATTAATTGGTTTTTACCCATTTGCAGCCCCGCAGAAGTGAGTGCTGCGCCAAAGGGCTTGTTGATTTGCTTGGGATTGAATTTGTCTCCTTTGCTTTCCAGCCAAAGTTTGGTGAAGACAAGTGCTGCGTTTTTGCTGCTGCTGCTGCTGCTGCTGCTGCTGCTGCGGGGGAGGAAGCCAGCAGCAGCAGCAGCAGTGGAGCGCAGCTGCACCCAGGTGTGCAGCAGCAAGTTGCTGCTGCTGCTGCTGCTGCTGTCGCGCTTCACTATGTTGGTAAACCGCAGCAGCAAATCCACATTTGCCAAAAGTTCTTTTGCTGCTGCTGCTCCAATCTTTTCTTTTTTTCTTTTTCCCTCAAAGCTCGCCAGAGTCTCCAGCAGTCTCCCCAGCTGATCTCTCCTGCTTCTCACGCTGCTGCTGCTGCTGCTGCTGCTGCTGCTGCTGCTGCTGCTGCTGCTGATTTCGGGGCCCTGCTGCAGCAGCTGCAGCAGCCAGCGCATGCGCAAGAAAGCCCTGCTGCTGCGGCTCGTGTCTAGCGGGTTTAAATGCATTTAATTCTTCATTTTGATTTAATTTAATTAATTAAATTAATTAATTAATTAATTATTTTATTTATTTATTTATTTATTTATTTATTTACCTGCTGGCCAATTCCAAAGTGAGCCACGGCAAAGCCCCCTATGCGCTTCAACTTGGCCTCGAGCTGCATGAGGGTATTATCGGCGGAGAAGACGAAGTTGGTGGCGACTGCGGGAAATGAATTCAAAATAATTAAATTTGAATTATTTTTAATCCATTTTTTGAACTCTTTGAGTTATTTTTAATCATTTATTTGAATTCTTTGATTAATTTTAATCATTTATTTGAATTCTTTGAGTTATTTCCTCCAAAAAGCAAAAAAAAGCGCAAAAAATGACCCAAGGTTCGCCCAAAACTGCAAAAGGCCAACAACTTCAAGATCTGCTACTGCTGCTTCTCCTCTAACTCCTTTTCTTTTTCTTTTTATTTAATTTAAATTAATTAATTAATTAATTAATTAACTAATTAATTAATTAATTAATTAACTAATTAATTAATTAATTAATTAATTAATTAATTAATTAATTAATTTATTTATTTATTTGTTTTAAAAAAATCCCACCATCTCCCTTTGTGGAATCGGACTTGAGGTAACAGCGCTCGTCGCACAAGTCCAAAAATCCGAAAGAAGGCCGAGGGCCTGAAATGAAAAAATAAAAATAAATAAATAAATAAATAAATAAATAAATAAATAAATAAATAAATAAATAAAAATAACATAAATAAATAAATAAATAAATGAAAATAAATAAAATAAATAAATAAATGGAGAGGTGAAGAAAAATGAAGAAATTGCATGCAGGTTTAGTTGGAGACAGAAAGAGAGTTGAATTAAAAATTAATTGAAAATTAATTTAAAATCAATTTAAAATCAATTTAGAATTAATTAGTCATTTATTTATTTGATTTATTATTTATTATTTGATTTATTAATTGGTTTATTATTTGATTTATTATTTGATTTATTATTTATTGAAATAAATGAATTTAAAAACAATTTCAAGCTGACCTTTTTTGCCTTTCTTTCCGTTTCCTAAAAAGGACAAAAACACAAAAAGTCCTTTTCTTCATTTTTATTTTTTCCATTTCAATTTTATTTTTAAATTTAATTTTATTTTATTTTTGCAATTATTTCATTTTTATTTTTTCAACTAAAGACTTCATTTGCAGTTTATTTAAATTTATTTCTTTTCATTTTGTTCTTTCTGTTTTCAATTTGTGCATGCACTGAATCGCCCATGCATTTATTTACTTTACTAATTTTATTTTTTTTTAATTTCTTAAGATGTCAAATAATCAATTAACTAATTAGCTATATTAATTAACTAATTAATCAATTAATCTAATTATTTATCTATTTTTTTTAATTTAATTATTTATTTATTTATTTATTTTAGTTATTTTTTTATTTACCTGTTTGCAGCAAATCAACCAAGGCGGCGTTCATTGGGCCTCCGAAAGTTCTGTCCCAGTCTTCTCTCATGAAAGGGACAATTCCTAAAAAGTAAAAATAAAAACAAAAAATAAAAAAATAAAAATAAAAATAAATAAATTAAATGGACAAAATGCATAAAATAGAAATAAAATTAAGTAAATGGAAGTATATGAACACAACAAATGTAAAATAATATTTCAAAAACCCCTTTTTGTGGTTTTGCATGCAGCTGATAAACAAATAAAATAAAAACAAAAAGGATATAAATGCCACTTTCGAATAAGTGGTAATGTGGAAATTGAATTGCTAGAATAATAATTGTTTAAAGGAGAAATGCAATAATAAAAACAATGAAATAAAAAATAAATAAAAGAAAAAGAAAATTAATCGCAAAGAAACGAAGAGGAAGAATGGAAAAAGAAATGGAGTAAAAGCGCGGAAAAAAGCAGAGAAATGAAGAAAAGAATAAAAAGAAACGAATAAATAAAAAGAATTATTTAAATGCAAAAATAAAATAAATAAATAAATAAAAGAATTATTTAAATACAAAAGAAGTTTGAATTCATTTAAGTTGAATCACCTTGCTGCTGCAGCCGCTGCACGCGGAGGCGGAGTCTGTCGCTCAAAAGTGGGTCTTTTTCGATGATTTCAAAGAGTTTTCTGTCTCTAAAATGTTGATTAAATTTAATTATTAAATCTAAAGTGGCAGAAAAACATCCCGTGCTGATTAGCGCGTTGAAAGAGGGAGCTGGAGATACACCCGAAGACAGCCGCCGCAACTCCGAGCTCCCTGTACACCCCACGCCGTACGTACACCCCAAACCGAAGTTTGCTACTTTCGAAAATGCCATAAAACAAAATAATTAAATAAAATAAAATAAAATAAAACAAAATAATTAAATAAAATAAAATAAAATAAAATAAAATAAAGTAAAATAAAGGAAAGGAAAATAAAGTAAAATGGAATAAAATAAAGTAAAATAAAGTAAAATAAAAATAAAATAAAATAAAATAGAGGAAAATAAAAGAAAATAAAAGGAAATGATAAAAGAAGTGGAAATGATTTGATGCATTTCTTTACAAATGTCGCCAAGTGGAAACAGAAATGCAAATAATTGCAAATGTTTGAAAACAAAAAAAAGAGACAAAATGGAATAATTGAAAAAAGAAAAAGTGCCAAAAATGAAACAAAAAGGAGACAAAAAAGAAATTCAAAAAAGAACAAAAAGATATTTAAAAGCGGGACAAAAAGGAGACAAAAAGGAAACTAAAAAGACAAAAAAAATAAAAAGAAACAAAAAAGCAAACGAAAAAGGAAATAAAAAGAAAAGGGAAAAGACGCAAACAAGAAACAAAAAAAAGGAAAAAAAGAGACAAAAAAGGAAATAAAAAAGAAAGACAAAAAGAGACAAAAAAGAAACAAAAAAGAGACAAAAAAGAAACAAAAAGAAACAAAAAATAATAATAAAAATAAAAAAATAAAAAAATGAAAAAAGACGAACAAACTGCCTTGGCGCGGGCCTCAATATCTTGGGGGCTGGTGAACAAAGCAACTCCTGCTGCTGCTGCTGCTGCTGCTGCTGCTGCTGCTGGCTGCTGCGGCGCTGCTGCTGCTGCTGCTGCTGCTGCTCTGTCTCCAAAACTGTCTCCAACTGTCTCCTTTTCTTTTTTCGAAGAAAATAAATTTATTTCTGCCGAGCAAAAGTCCCCCGCAGTCCCGCGGTTTTCCAGCACATATTCCTGAAAACATTTTTATTTTCATTTTAATTCTTTTAATTCTTAATTCTTTTTAATTCTTTTTAATTTAATTTAATTTATTTTAATTCATTTTAATTCACTTTTTAATTTCTTTTAATTCATTTTATTCATTTAATGCACTTTTTAGTTTTTTTTTCCTCAAATGTCAAAAAGATGCATTTAGTATTTACATATTTGCAGTTACATTTCTTTTTACTTTTGCACTTTTTATTTATTTTTATTTTTTAAATTTTTAATTAAATTTAAAGTTGCATTTATATTCACACTTTATCACATATTATAATATTTACTTATTTGCACTGCAAACCCCAAACCCTAAACCCAAAACCCTAAACCCCAAACCCCAAACCCTAAACCCTAAACCCTAAACCCTAAACCCTGAGGGTTTGCCTCACCGCAGTGACGCTGTGGAAAACTGTCTCTGTGTGTCCCCTGGCCAGTCTGCTGCCAATCTCTTTAAGTCCCTCCAACTCTTTTGCTGCTGCTGCTGCTTCTGCTGCTCCCAAACCCTCGAAGGAGTACCTGCGGGGGCCCCCCGAGGGTTGGTATTCAATGCGCACTCTTGCTGCACTTGGTGCTGCTGCTGCTGCTGCTGCTGCTGCAGCAGGGGGGCCCCTGGGGGCCCCTGCGGGGGCCCCTGCGGGGGCCCCTGCGGGGGCCCCTGCGGGGGCCCCTGCGGGGGGCCCCCCGGGGGGGCCCCCAAAGCGCATGAGGTAGCGGCGCTGCTGCGGCAGTGCTGCTGCTGCTGCTGCTGCTGCTGCTGGTGCAGCAGCAGCAGCAGCACCGCCGCTCTGGATAATTGCTGTTGAGATTTGGAAGCTGCTTGCGGCTGTGTCTGCAGCAAAAGAAAAAAAATTAATTCGATTTAAATGAATTAATAATGTTATTTAATTCAAATGAATTAATGCTTTTTAAATGAATTAATGTTATTTAATTTAAATGGATTAATGTTTTTTAAATGAATTAATTCTATTCAGTTTTAATGAATTAATATTATTTAATTTAAATGAATTAATATTATTTAATTGAAATGAATCAAATTGACCAATTCAAAAAAAAGTTGAAATAAAATAAAAAATGAGAAAAGCATTTGCGGCAAAAGTAATTAAGAAGATAAAAACAATTAAAAAGAAATAAAGAAATAAAAGAAATAAAAAACTAAAATGAATTAAAATGAACTGAAATGAAATAAGGTGAAGTGAAGTGAATTAAAGTGAATTAAAGCGAATCTAAATGAAATTAAAGTGAATAAAAATGAATTGAAGTGATTTAAAGTGATTTAAAGTGAATTAAAGTGATTTAAAGTGATTTAAAATGAATAAAAAAGCATTAAAGTGAATAAAAATGAACAAAAATAAACAAAAAAGAATTAAAATAACAAAAAAGAAGAAAAAAGAAGAAAAAAAGATAAAAATGAACTCACTATTTGCTGCTTGGAGGACGCGGTCGACGACGAGTCGCTGCTGCTGCTGCGTGAGGTGTCCGTACACCCGAGCCTGCAGCTCCTGTCGGATTTGGAAATCAATTTCATTTTTATTTTTATTTAAAGTTGCAGTTAATTCAGCTTTTCTTTTTGCAACATGTTGGACAAGAGCATCCAAGTCGTTGAGTTGGAGGCTGGCGCGGGCGACGTGCGCGTCTGCTGCTGCTGCTGCTGCTGCTGCGTCTGCTGCTGCTGCTGCTGCTGCTGCTGCTGCTTCCAGCGCCGCCTGCAGCAGCTGCAGCACCAAGTCCACCAAGTGTCTCCCTATTGCCAAAGGCCCTTCTAATTGGCCAATTAAAAATAAATATATTTCCGATAAAGGAATAATTAATTGTCCCCTTCCTCCCAGCAAAAGGGCCTTCAAGTTCTGCAGAGAGACCTTCGCGCTCGTCACCAGGATGTACGCTGACGCCCAAACC